CGCTTCCTGTTATTCATATGCATCACTGCGGAGAGCAGAGTGTGAAGCAGATGTGGAAGAGAGGGAAGAGTGAAAAGGGAGAAAAAGATAGAAGAGAGAGAAGCGAATAACGCATAGAGGGCAGAAACTTCACCAGACGAAGTAGAGAATGAATGAAATGGCGAACACATGGCAAAGGATGATTTATACCATCCCAGTATAACGGGCATAAATGACCTGAATAAATGAGCTAGTGACGAGTCTATTCAGTATTCATTCGAGCATAGGCTACTTGTTGCACAACTTCGCTGTACAAATGAATGAGCAATTCAAGCACAATGGGCAAGTTTAGGACTTCCGGAGCAACGGCAGCAAGGACATCGTGCAAAGATGCACAGAATCGTCTGCATCTCCTGCAATCCTCATTCCTCAGCCAGTCCTAATCACAATTTAGTCCTCGGTCCTCGTAGTTTCTTTTTTCGTCTTCAGCGCTCCGTGCACCGTTCGTCCCCAATGCACAGCATGCACGTGCACCTTCCCCGTGTCCATTCGTGCACACAGTGCACCTTTTCCGTGTCATCCGTGCACACATTGCGGACGAGAGCAGCTAGGTGGACAGAGCAGAACAGGACCGCAGCACGGGTGGTGGACGGGCGGAGCGGGGCCGACAAAACGCCGCGCGGCTCATTTACATACATCTTCTGCGCCCGGGTCGCCTTTCAGTCTCGTGTGCAGTGTGCACCGTTTAGTGCACACGGCCGCTGCGCAGTGCACGGCCTCTGTTCGGTAGCCTGCAGCCTGCTCTCGAGAGCGCGCTTCTCTGTTCCCCGGTCGGAGAGGGCGGAGCGGCCGTCCCGTGTCTGGTTCCCGGAGGTGCCGGACGCTCTCTCAGCCCGTGCACGGTGTGTGCGTGTGTCCCTGAGAGGCCCTCGGTCGGCCGGCGGGCTGTCCCTCCCTCTCTCTCCGGCGCTGCGGGGCGCGTGGGATGAGAGGAGCCCGCCCACACGGCTCGGAGCAGCTGCGCTCAACTGGGAGAGGCGGTGACGACAGGAACGGTCCCCAGACCGGACACGGGCCGACGAAGACCGGACACGGGCCGACGAGGGGCGACAGCGGCGCGACGGAGCCCATCAAACACGAGGGCGGCCCGCGCGGCGCCGCTCAAGACCTGTCGGCAGTGTATCAATGGGAGATTTATTTCCATTACGTGCGCTTGACTGGCTCCGCTTCAATGGCTCGTCTGCGCCGCTTCCATCAACCCCTTCGGCCGGCGGCCCAAGGAGGGAACCGGAGCCCTATTTAGCGCCGCTGGAGTCCCTTGTCGGCCCAGCTGGGGTCCGACGGGTCATTCCTCACATTCCGCACTGGGGTCGGGTCGGCGGGGCGCCCAGGGTTTGTACAGGTGAGAGGCGCGGGCCGAGACACGGCCGCCCAGAAGACGAGAGAACGGTACACTGGGCGCGCCGCGACCCGCCCGATCCGTACACTCGGCGCGCCATGCTCAGACTGGTCCAAATTGTCCAGTCATTAGTGGCTATTGTCGTGGGCTTTATGAATGGCATCTGTAGTAAAAAGCTATAAAATTAACAAGTAATTGCCCTTCTGTATGTGATAAACAAAGGACCGGAACCTGCGTCAAAGTAAAAGATTGGGAGCGTTATTTGAGCCCCCAGACTCAAAACGAGTGTCCGTAACAGACGTCCATTCTGAGATTCATGGGCGGGGCAGAGTAAACACTAGATTAGCCTGGATCACAGCCATGAACAGAACACGAGCCATGGTCCCGCCACTCGGCGTTTCATCAGTACAACAAGCTGACAGCAGTGAGACTGAGTAAGTCGCGTCTAGTCCTGGTTCAAGACCACAGTGTCGGCGCCGCTAAACCAATTCTCCGTGACAAAGACATTGAGCCGCACCTTTGTATCGACAAACTCGAGCCGTGTTCACTCGGGAGTTAGACGTGAACTCTGCGATCAGTCATCAGCCGTCGAGCCACGCTGAAATAGTATCCGCACTTCCTGAGCCAAGTCGGAGCGCCCATCTGCTGCAAATGTCACCGCCGCATCTGACCCCGATTAGAGGCGCCCATCGGTTCGTCGATTTCGACGGCGGTGGCGATGACACGCTACATCTGGCGGCGGTGCGGCGCCGGCGTTAGTCACGTGCGCCGCTGCCAGAGGCAACAGGCCAGCCGGCGCAAACGGCGCTGGTCCCGTGCTCGTTTTACTGATTTAATTATTGCAGACGTATTTAGCTTGCACTCTGTCAGAATGTGTGGATCACGGGATGTTTTCTGAACCATCGTCCCTTCACTAACGACGAGTGAAAGTCGGTCTCTTAATTTTCTACCCAGAAACGAAACTCATGATCCTGAGCCCTGGATCACCTCCTGACCAAGTCATCGATGGCATCGATCGAGTAGTCGATGGGATCGCACTGACTGGACAAATGGCGTGCATCTCATCTCAGCTCCATATTTTCAAACAAGTCTTCGTGCCAAACGAGATGTGTTGATAGGCTCATCGGAAAATCGATCAAACGGTAGTCTAATGGTGCCAGTTGTCTTCTCAGAAGAGACTTCTCGCCAAGAAATGTGCAGCCACTGGCAGTCTGTCTTCCCACAGCTCCCTCCCTACTCATCAACTTCCTAGAGTTCGATTCCGATGTAACGGCCCCGTTTCCTACCAATCCCCCCCCCCCCCTCCCCCGCCACTAGCCGTGTCCTTGCACAGCAATTGATGGTGATTGGGTTGCCATACTGGGCTGACACCTGACCTACTGGGCAATGACGAGTGACCGACACCCAGTCGGCGGCCCATTTCGGCTCCGTCAGTGCTCGTTAGACCTGTCAGAGGGGCAGCTGCCGGCAGACCGGCCCCGGGTGCCGACGACTGACGGTTCCACGCGCCGACTACTGACGGTTCCAGGGCGCCCCTGTCGCGGTTCCAGGCCGCCCCTGTCGACCTCCAGACGGGCCCGTATAACGGCTGACGGACGGGAACGTGCTGCTATGGCGGTGACCGGTAATCGAACCCGCTGTAGGTGGGCACTGCTAGCTGAGGGACTCAGCAAGTCGTAACTCAAGAGACGTGGAGCGCTGACCTGGCCGTCAGCGCTTATTCAAACTTCCTTCTTATGATTGGATTCAAATTTGTGGATAAAAGTATGATTTACAACTTCGATTTCTTTTCATTTGAGCTTCTTATGGAAATTGCTTATAGTCATGACGGATGAGGAAAGATGCAGGGGAGATAACTTTCTAAGCATGGGACAAACTTCCTTCCTAAATTCATCGCACTTGGTTTGCTGACCTTCTGGGGCCCGCGGCTGACCTCTGGCCGGCCTCTGGCGCACTGGTGGGCCGTGACCAGTAATACGGGTCCCGGTAACGTCATCTGCTCCCCCCCTCCCTCCCCCCAGTCCGTGCACATGACCGGTGTCCGCAGTCCGACACCGGTCGAGTCATACGGCACGCGCTGCGCCGCTGATCCCGGCCAGGAAATGCGCACTGTTGCATAACGCGCAGTAGATGTCGGCGTTTGTTGAAAATTTGGTGCAAACTGGGTTGTTTCATACGTAGTGCATGGCTAGTAAACTCACGTGACTGGGTCAATTACTGCAGGGCCAGCGACTGTTGTCTGTTGGTGGGCTGAAGCATTGACCTTGACCTATAATAAGTACTTATTATAGGTCAATGGGCTGAAGGCAGAAGCGCTCAAACGAGTTTCCATGTGAGGATTTGATGGCTCGATAAAGATGGAGTTCGTGAGATGCTTGACCGCATTTTACAACCGTATAAGGGTATCACGCTATCTGAACACAGTGAGGTAGTTAATTCGTTTTTTCCTAGGCATGTCACACACCAAATGAATAACTATCACCTACTATTTTTGATCGATGATCGAAGTCAATTTAAGAAACATATTGATGACATATACTGATAATGCTTTAACCGACTTGTCCCTTTAGGTCATAAATTTATCAAAGTTCTTTTAATATAGCAGCTGCGTCTTTTGCCTTCACGAGTTATTTGTAATGCAGCATCTGTGCAAAACAGGGTAGTGTATTTGACGTGTATGTAGATGCCTTCTACTGATCTATGCTGCACCTGCATTATTTACGACACGATATATCCTTTTTGTCCATAGACAGTCGCGTATTTCGCTCTTGTCCCACTCGCAAACAATGGGTTTGAAACTAATCAGCCACGCAAACTTACACATGTAACGTATTCCGGTGCTTTATCAACACGCCTCTTACGTTCAATAATGCATGTCCCTTGTGCAGGTGCCGAAAGCCTGCACGCCCCTCGATCGGTCTTGCATTGTCATTATGCAGCCGCGGCGGGCGGCGTTTGTCTTTGTCCATTCACATCTGTCAACTGTCGACACTGTCATCGGTTACCAGTGCGACCACCGGCGTTTGCAGCCGCATTATAAAACCGAACAGCCAGCAAACGTGACAGCCGGCATGAGTTCCCAAACCGCAGAGTATCGCTTTGCCGCCATTACACGTCAAGCTCAATAAATCTGTTAGAAAAAGAAATATGTCGCCAAGGCGTTTTTGATGGGACGTTCATTGAGACGTTACTCATATCGTGATGTCAAACTGATAGCGATGGATGTGCGATCAGTTGGCGCTAGGAATCTGTAGATAAATGTCGCTGGTTAAATGGCTGCTGGCAATTACGCCAGTGCTGGTCTTGGATAGAAAATGATTTCCGGGTTACTATTTACGTCTACGCTTGACGCATCGAAGATCGGATGAGCGGATGATGATAAGTGTTGAAAGATTTTGCGATGTTTAGGTACACTTCTTTGTTGCCATTTTATATTCTTTTACAACTATTTAATACATAGATAATTGCTTTTTTCTCATTTTATCTCGCCACAAATAACCGTGTGTCTCGTTTTATGTGTTTCAGGTGGCGAGCCGCTGTACCCGAACATCTTTAATCTGGCGCCGGGCAGTGATGTCAGCGTGAACGCCACTTGCGGAACGCAGACCAGCGAGGTAAGGGGATGAACGAGGTGGTCAGACTGGCAAGCTTAGGCATTTTCATTGTGGAACTGGACGCCACTCATGGAGTGCAGACCAGTAACACTAAAGAGCACCCTTAGCGACTTATGGGAGGTCGATTCACCTATCCAGGGCATTATCCATATTATCTCATAGAATTGGAAGGAAAAGTTCTAGAATGGAATAGAAATACCGACAAAAATGCTTCAAATTTAGGCTTCGGATGCCGGAAAAGAAACGGCTCGTTTTGGAATGTGATGCCATTTTCTAACCGGTCGAAAGCGGATGTTATCTAGTGACACCTCTACAAAGTCGCGTCCCGTTGGCCAGAGCCGATCACCCCTGTGAACGATTAGGACGTCCGTCCACAAAAGGGCCGCCTCTCCAGTCTGGCCTCCCACACAGGGCACGGCTACAGCGGGCGATAATTACATTCATCCAACTGAGCCGCCTACGAGCGCCGTCTGAGCGAGAAACCCATTACGTCTGACTGGGCTGACATCTCTTTTTACTCTCGGACCATCACCGCCACGGCCCATCGCCGACCCACGAAATCACCGACACCCGGCACGGATTAACCACTAACCCACCACTGACCTATGCCTAAAAACACCTATCCCCACTTAGCGATCCCAAATGACCGCCTTTGAAATCCACCTACAAACACTTTCCAATGGACACCTCACCAACCTAATAATGATCGCTGACCACAGACCATCCCCCGACCCACCACATCGCCCCTGTACCGGCCGGCGTCCATTCCACTCCGGGCCAACTCCGGTCACTTCCCGGACCGACCCCGGCCGCCGCGAGTGACAGCTCTGGCGCGGGCTCAAACCGGGCGCGGCCGCGGCCGATCTGACGCACCGGTGCCGGAAGAAGAGCAGCGTGTACCGAGCGTGGCGGACCGGGCGGCGGGCGATCCCCGGCCAGATCAGGGGCGTGCAGTTGGAGCGGTCCACTTCAGAGGAGCCGCCCGGCCGAGTGGATGGGCGGGGTGGGTGGACCGGCCGGCGGAGACGGGCGGCGCGCTGGGAGGCTGACAGACGCCGCCTGGACGCCCGACAGGCGCCGCCTGCACGCCGCCGAACGCGTCCGATAAGGGCGGAGGGTGTGTGCGGGCTGAATCCGGCCCACGCATTGAGTGAATTGAAATGAGATCGTTATGCCGACGGCGGGTGATGTGATCTTTACTCGGGACGGGTCGGTGGTCACTGGGTAATCAGATTGACCAAATATGAGGCGGATAGTAAGGGACCTACCCAGTGCTCGACATTGAGTAACGTGCCCCGTTGCGTAACCTGCTCGCGCTGAGCCAGTTTCATTCGTTACGGTGCGCCAAACTGGTTCTGCAAGTCGTGCCACTCATTTCTGAGTACGCCCATCATATCTTTACAGCGCTCCGACAGCGGCTGTCCGTCTTGATCATTTGACTTTACGCTCTAAAAATGTGAAATAAACTTGTCAAAACTAGTCGGTTGTAAATCTATCTTAAAAGCACATCGCGGTTATCGGCAAATACAGGCATGGCAAAAAGAGCGCAGCATTGTACCGTGCTGTATGTATGAACTGAAAGTGATTTGTATGCGCAGCATCATTCACACAATTACACACAGAGCCACGTCTCGCGTGCCGCTCTAAACGTCCGACACCTCTCCCCGTGTGTGGTCCCACGTGCCGCCGCATAAGACGACGTCTGGCAGTCTCATCAGATATCCAGGACAGGCGTCTGCGCTCCCAGTTTGGGCAGACGTCGCATCAGACATTCTGTGTCGGCCGTCACGTCTTCATCTGTCCCGAGACCCCACGGGCTGCTGGACGTTAGTGACGGGATGACACGGTTTGGGGGAGCCCGCCGCGACCCGGCGCTCCGAGAGGTCCCTCTGCCGGGTCACCCGGGTTGTCACTGAGCTCATAATTTAACGGTCCGTCTGTTTGGCTGGGTGTGTAAACAGAAGATTAGGCAGTACACCTTTTTGCATTTGAATTCAACCATTCGCCATAACTGTTTGAAGAGCCATTTCGACAATCCGCATTGAGCACAACTATTCCGGCGTGGTGTGTTTCATTTCAGCCATTCAGCAAAACAGATTGAACACTGAAATGAGCGATCTGCAAAACAGTTTAACAGTTCGCCAGACTTCAGCATAGAGGGAGCCAGCTCGGCATATGACGACTAGGTTCGACCATTGACGATTTGTTTTGCACAATGTCGAACCATTCGTTCAATGTCGAGTTGTAGAGGAAGATCGCCGAATAGTTTTGCACAATGGTGATTCTTTGTGACCAACCGCCCATTTGTAGCGCCACCTATATGGTGAATGTGTACAAACGTTTTGCCCAATGGTCAAAAGCTAACGCAAAAAGGTGTAGTACCGTTGGTCAAAACGCGTTCACTAATTAAATTCCAGCGATGTGTGCGCTGAAAGTTTATGAGTGATGATCGTTGAACCCGGTAATCTGGCGTGGAAACCGGGGCAATTTGTTTGTTATGATATTGTAGCATTGTCGCGTGGTGTTTAGACAGGACTCGTAATGAATTGACGTCCGTTGGATTCTGCCCGCGTCCGTGTCTTTCTTTCTGTCTGTGTGTGTCATTTTCCTCTGGCATCAACCCTTTTTAGTTCCTTATCATCGAAAATAATTTTCCACCTCAGCTGGTGATTATCAAATCAACTTTTGCACCCAATAACTCACAAATACAATATCAGAATGATCTTCCAAAACAGACTATAATGTCACGGTTCGTTTTGTTCAGTTTTCTGTTGAGTTTCAGTTTCGTTGAGTTATTTGCACCCAATAACTCACAAATACAATATCAGAATGATCTTCCAAAACAGGCTATAATGTCACGGTTCGTTTTGTTCAGTTTTCTGACGAGCCGTCCCATTTTCAGCCGTACTGCGAGCTCTCCAGTATTGTGTTCATGACTGGCGAGGAGTGCGGGATCTGTGACGGTCTCAGCAGTGACGTCAGTCGACGTCACCCCATCACCAACATCATTGACGGCACTGACGCCTGGTGGCAGGGCCCGACCCTGGAGCGGGGTCTGGACAGCCAGTGGATCACCATCGAGATGGACCTCAGACAGGTCGGTCACGGGTCACGGGTCAGGTCAGCGGGAGGGCTGGATGAGGGGGATGCTCGGATCGGTGACAGACGAATACATTGATTTCATCATCCTTATTTATATATTAATTAAGAATAAATTAAATATTTGTTTCATATCGGCAATATTTGATGATAAAATTAAGAATATGATTTTATTGTCGTATAATTGATATCATTTTAATGGCTCTAGTATAACTACATTCGCATCTTCGTGTAAAATCGTCCCGGTCACATGACAGTCACATGCGTCCCGGAATAAGCTTTGCAACCTTCCGATGAACTCAGAAGGCCGATCAGCTGATTTCATCGCCAATGCAGTTATCGTCATTGGAAACTGAATGGATGTCGCAATGTTTACCTAAGCAGCAGCCACATGACCGATTTTCTGGGACCGGAATTGACGATCACCAGTCTGTCAATAGAAACATCCTGTTACCGGTAGCCAACGGAGTACAGACCTCCAGAATTCGGTCATCATGTTGCGGCGAATTTTGCACATTTCTGAACGAAACGTCATTGCTATTCGATCCATCAAATAACAGACGTAAATTTATTTTTAATGCAAAGCTGACTGTCGCCAATGTAATGCAACCTACCTGCCTTTCTACCTGGAATGCACCTCTGCGCTACGTAAAACATTCACCGTCTCGCTCCTTTCCATAATCGTCTCACCTCCCCCCCCCCCGTTTCCACAGGAGTTTGAGGTGGCGTACGTGATCCTGAAGACGGCCGTGTCGCCAGCACCCGGCTCCTGGGTGTTGGAACGCTCCCTCACCGGCACCGACTATCAGCCGTGGCAGTACTTTGCCGCCAGCGACGCCGCCTGCCGCGAACACTTTGGTCTGGAGCCGACACCGGGCAAACCAAAGTACCGAGCGGCCGCAGAGGTGATCTGCACCAGCTACTTTTCCAAGCTGAACCCGCTGATGAAGGCGCAGGTACGAGAAACTCCTGGGGACAAGGATGACGTCATAGCGTGTAGCGAACGCACTGATGAGACGAGTGAACAACGCGCCGATGTTCGATGGGTTCGGTCACACCGTCTATTCATGATGTGGGATATTTGAATGTGGGAGGGACACTGTTTACCGGCTGGAACCGTAATATATGCATTCCGCTCTCACTTACCCAGGATGCATGAATAAGTGGGTTGATGCGCATTCCAATAGTGGGTTGATGCGCATTCCAATGGAGTTGAGTTTATAATCGGTCGCAGCCCGCAGGTCTGTTTGTCAAGGCATTAACTTGACTCATGAACATGGATTAGTTTTAGGTCTGAACTTCCTCCCACGCTGTTCGATGACGTCTCTGACACCGTCCCTCGCCCCTCGGCCCTCAGATTTACGTGCCGCTGATCACGGGTCGGCCCACCTCGGAGCGGCCCTCCCAGGAGCTCCTCGAGTTTGTGCGCGCCCGGTTCATCCGTCTCCGTCTGCGCGGAGTGCTCACCCTCAACTCGCACGAGCCGGCGCTGTTCGGTAGCCGACCCGACCCGCAGCTGCTGAGGTCGTACTTTTACTCGCTGAGTGAGGTGACGGTCGGAGGTCGGTGCGTGTGTAACGGCCACGCCACACTCTGTCCAGTGGCGCCGGAGACCGGGGTGAGTCTCAGTGGAGCTGAAGGTAACGCTGGCTCTAGGAGGGATCTGGGAAGGTTGCCTGTAGACGGGATGGTGTTTACAATTGTTATCCTCTTTGGCAAATGGCAATACCAGTCAAATCTGAAGCTACCTATTTAGCATTGTTTGCACAGACAGAGGCCCCGCTTGTCCTTTAGTTAGCCCTTTCACTGCATTTAGATCGTGTTGTCCCGGTTGTTTTGGCGTCAGTAAGTAGTCTAAACCACATAAAAATGCACCATGCCGCCAAGCACACCCAAAACCAGTTTTGTCGACTAAATAGGGATCGTTCGCGGGTTTAATGCCATCAACGACCGGTCCTCTGTTGCAGGATCAGCGATGTGAGTGCACTCACAATACGTGTGGCGCTACCTGCGACCGGTGCTGTCCCCTATACAACCAGCGCCCGTGGTCCCCGGGAGGCGGGTTCCCAGGGGCCTGTGAGAAATGTCAGTGTCACGGCCACGCAGAGGAGTGCTACTTTGATGACGATGTGGCGAGGGATAAGAAGAGTATCAACACATATGGGAAGTACGAGGGAGGAGGAGTCTGCCTCAACTGTCAGGTGAGAAAGTGTTACCGGGGATCGATAGAAGTTAATACCTACCCAACGTGTTTGGTGGGCATTTGGTTTGCAGCATTTTCCAGGATGTCGTCAGTATAATTATTCAGATAATATTCTTCATGGTTGCATGTTTTCTAATGATGATATGCGTACCAACTTACCCAATGCCGCTGTTCACTCCATAAGTGATACCTATCCTACAACTAGGTACAAGAATTAATAAGCTCGTAACCACCGTTTCAATTCGCCCCTTCAGATCACTCATTTTCAGTCACCAAGCCCCCTCTCCCCTTCACCTACAGCATTTCACGACGGGTATCAACTGCGAGTCGTGCCTGCCGGGCTACTACCGGCCCTCGGGAGTGTCTGCGGACGACCCTGAGCCGTGCCGGCGGTGCAGCTGCGGCGCAGAGGGCGCCACCGGCGACTGTGTGCCCGACGACAGTCGACTCAAGGAGGGTCAGGTCAGTGAAGTCCCGTACAAGTAGTTTGTATGGATTCCAAGGAGGATTCTATGTCATAAGCTTTTATACTTTTGATTTTACTGTGCAATGTCCATTGTGTATCCTGCGTAGTGCATACCATGTCCTAATCTTCCCAGCGCCTAGTAAGGTACCATGCATGCCCTCTCAAACGTCTGATGTGTGCCACTGTACTATGCTGTTATCAGTGTCTAGGAGTGAGCCATATCGTTCTTTCCTCTTTAGTACCCTGCCCTCCCCAGTGTCTGACCTGCCCCTCCCCCCTCTCCCTCTAGGTACCGGGCTCTTGCATATGCCGCGAGGGTTTCGCCGGCGAGCGGTGTGACCGCTGCGCCCGCGGCTACCGCGACTACCCGCGCTGTGAGCCCTGTCCCTGTGACGAGGCGGGGACCGTGGACGGAGAGTGTGACGGACAGAGCTGCCTCTGCAAGGTGAGAGTGTTAGAGTGAGGGTGGGAATGGAGAGGACGTGGCGTAGCTGAGGTGATTTTGCGCTTAGCCGTAACGTTACGGATAAGTCGAGTGGTGCTAGTTGTCATGAAATATGTTTTGTTTTCCCTGTCTGGCCCAGTAACGTCTATTTGTTACTGAACTTGTCATGCACTGTTTCGTCTTGTCTCAATTTAGCGGAAATCGAAATCCGATGGCGCTTTAACTCGAATTTCACCTCTCACCCCGTGACCTGACCTGACCTGACCTGAACTCCCCCTCTATAGGCCAACGTGCGCGGCGCCCGTTGTGACAGCTGCAAGCCGGGCTACTACAACCTGCAGGCGGACAATCCGGACGGCTGCACAGAGTGTTTCTGTTTCGGACTGACCAGTATCTGCAGCAGCTCCTACCTCGGCGTCGAGAACGTAGGTGGCGCTAGTGGCGCACTGGGCGGTAGGACAATGGGTAGGACGGTGGGTGAAGGATGACGCTTTAAACGGCATGTACTGTTTTGCTTATGCCAGAGTGATAAGCACATTTCAAGTAAATGCAGTTTGACGATTGTTAGCTAATATTTCTTTATGTCGTTTGTTCGGTTTATTTCCAGCTACTTTGAATGTTATTTTTCAATTTCCCAAGTTTATTTTCTTTACCGTCCTCGAATATAGTTACGTATTCAATCATTCGCATGTGCTGGTTGTGTGATGTTCTCTTCATCTAATCTTTAACAACTCACGACGTTGCTATCTGATGTCAGACATCACCCTTTACATCCCCCGTCTCTAGGTGACGTCGATCGTGCCGTGGACGGTGGTCTCACTCGACGGCTCCGTCTCCACTGAGCCCTACATGGACGGCACCATCCAGCTGGTAGCCAACGACGAGATGGCCGCCGACATCGGCGGCTACTACTGGCGGGCGCCGCAGGAGCTGCTCGGGCTCAGGGTGTACAGCTACGGCCAGCCGATGGAGTTCCACACCTCGTGGGTGGTGCGGCGAGGAGACACGGCTGGGAGACCCATAAAGGGACCCGATGTTATACTGGAGGTGAGTGGAGTGATAGGAGGGAGGCAGGGGGTATCGTGATGGGTGAGTGGATATAGGGGTGGCTCTGACAGAATCGTTCGACTAGAATTGTTTAACGTCTATTTCCCATGATGCTCTCGATAATTGAATTGGTGGTTTAGATTGGATGAAGGATGGGATATACCCCGTGTAAATTATATCGTCCACATTTTATGCACCGATACTTTTTTAAACATTTCTTTGTTTGCACTCAGCGCCGAACCGTAACTGCCGTACGCACTTTGAACGATGTCCTGTAACTACCATCTCCCTCCCTGGCCCAACTGACCTGACCCTCCCTTACCCCAGGGCGACGGTCTGCGGCTCGGATACGGCCACAACATGCATGACGACACGGAGGCACACATTAGCGCTCTGCTCACCGAGAAGAACTGGTACAGAATGTCCACCAAGGTAAACACGAATGAATGAATGAATGAATGAATGAATGAATGAATGAATGAATGAATGAATGAATGAATGAAGCTGAGAATCGTAAGAATCGGTATGTTCATTTTGGCATGTGGTGTCTTGTCGTTTTTATAAATAACATGCATTGTTCGATAAAGTATTTCGAGACAGTAGACAGTAGTTCGAGACGGGTGGCTATCAAAGCATACAAAAGTGCAGCGTACAATCCTCAAAGCATACAAAATCGTAACATACAACGCGCAAAACCTACAAAACAGGCCAGGTAGGGGACAGTCCAAACGTACAAAAGCGCAGCGTACAAAATTCCAACGTACTAAAGTTAACCGTCCAATGGGTAAAGCGTACAAAAGCAAATCAAACAATGCTCAGAACGTACAAAATTGGAACGTACAATGGCAGATCAAACAAACGCGTAACATACAAAATTGCAACCTACAAAACGAGATGATCGTATCATACAAAATCGCATCGTCTAAAATCGGAAGGTACAAAATGCCTCTGGTTGATGCCGGGTGAATTGATATTTAACGAGTCAGCCACCAGATGGGGTAATGGTGCTGTGGCAGTGGTTTTTTGGAAGCCACCAGGAAATAGAGTGGAATGCCACTAAGTCCCTTAGAAACACGATACTCTGGACGCTGCACCGGCCGGCTATCGACGCTGCGGGCGGTCGGAGGGTGCCGAGGGGAATGGTTCCGAGCAGGCGGGAACACGATACCTCTGAACGCTGCACCGGCCGACTATCGACGCTGCGGGTGCCGCGGGGACCGGTGCCGAGCAGGCGACGAGGAGAAGCGGGCATCAAGACCGTGAGATATATATTATATTGGCGGGTGTGCATATGTAGGTAAATGAGGTATGCAACACCTTTATCCTTGATCACCCCCCCCCCCCTACCCACGCCCTGCTGGGGGGGGCTGTTTGAACAACCCCTCTGGTTTCTCGCGAATATCTAAAAAACGGCGGCTCAGGATGCCGCCGTGTTTTGCACACCTTATATCATAATCTTTTCTACACCTTCTGTGAAAACTTCAGACCAAAGTCATCCAAGGTCAGGTCACCATATCACTTCAAGTGACCTTACTACATGAAAAGTTTCAATGCCTGTCACAGCTACATCGAGTGGCTGATCACTTTGAAACTTTGAGCAACTGATAAAACAACAGTATATATGTTACAGGCAATGTGTGGAATTAGGCATTCAATAGAATGCCTGACCGACCAGGCATTCTATAGAATCCCTAGGTATTCTATAGAATGCCTGAACCACCAGGCATTCTATAGAATCCCTAGGCATTCTAGAGAATGCCTGATTTTCAGGCATTCTATAGAATGCCTAGGAAATACACGTATCTTTCCAACAATTTAGTGTAGGTTGTATAAGATTATGAGCACAGACCGATATGTACATTATTATTTTCTGCCTGGCTACCTTTCGGTCAGCTATTAATGTTCATTCAGTCAAATGTTCATTCATTCATTCATGTTCATTCAGTGAGTTTTTCCGGTCAGGTATTCAATCTAACCTTATTAGGTCAAATTGTAGATTATCTTTCAGGTTTTCATTCTCAGAGTAGGTACATAGTATTTATCTTAACGCTAGAAAGACGATGGTGGTAATGTCAATATCGGAAATGCTTTTGGTAAAAAAGTTGCACAGAAAAAAGTTTGGTAAGTCGTCCATTTTTGAGGGTGTTTGCCCTCTTAATGTCGAACGATCGATTTAGGTCAAACTGGAGAAAACAACTACGAGCCAAAAATGGCCAAAAATTTGCCTGACCTAAAAATGGCTTAGCTATTTGTTTTAGATTTGGCATCCTTTCGAACACTGCCAAAGCATTACTGGTGTAAAATTTCGTAATTTTGACGACCATTCGAACACCGCATGGCCCAGAAGTCAAGCTGGAAGGGGAGATTGAACAACACTTTATCCGGCTCTTGTTACGGCCGGGCCACCGCCCGGACGTGGAGTAGAATAATAAGCCATTTATTCAGGTTATTCCCTGACATTACAGTGTAGGTTGAGCTGTCCATGTATATTGAGAGTCGTTACACGAAGTGCTTATGACGACATAAGATGTGACCTTTTGCTATATTCTTCATCTTCATTTCTAACATCAGAACAAAGCCATCGTCATTCGCAATCACTTTCGATTCAAGCCTACGTTCCACCCACCCAGCCAACACTCTACTAGTGCAGCTTCGTATCTGTAGCAACATAACCCTCCGAGCGATAACCGTTTAAGCGACTGGTTGACCCGTCCCTTGCGCCGTGGCTCTCCCGCGCCAACGGGATTGGATCAGTTGCTGTTTGCGGCGCACCATTTGGTGGTCGGCATAGCCCAATTTCTCCCTCGCTTCCTCTCATCTCATTGCCCTGAAATGGTGTAAGGTGACGACCGACCTAGGCCAACAAAGAAAATTAGGTAAATAAATAGCATTACCGCCACTAACCCCTAAATTTCGAAGTGTTGTTTCGGAAAATCAAAATACTTAGGCATTCTATAGAATGCCTGGGAGCATTCTATAGAATGCCTGGGAGCTTAAGCCAGGCATTCTATAGAATGCCTAAGCAGTCAGGGATTCTATAGAATGCCTAGGGATTCTATATTCATATGTGAGCCAACCACTTTTTGAGTGGTTAACCTAGCAAACATTGTAAATGTGTTCAACAGGATGTTTACAGTGAGGGTTGAACTTGAAAAGACGATGGGATGGGACCGCGGCCGGAATTAGCGCGACATTGGTGGATTTGCCGCCCTTTCCCAAACTTAGTTAGAATGTTCCACGTAGTTCAGAAATGTCCATGGACCACGAATCTGCAAATATTTTTCATCCATGGTGTACAGCGTCCGCGCCACATCAGCCCAAATACAAATGTGACAAGCATCGTAGACCCGTTTTCGTACGGAGAAAAGTAGCAGCTAATGTAGGTAAGAAAAAATATATATTAGACGCCTTTATCAATATTTTCGGGTTCTAACCTGATAGTTTAGACTATGGGCTTCACGATGGAAAGAAAAACTTATAGCGGAATATATAAATACGCTTCAAATGTTAAGTTTTTAGGTGCTTTTAAAATTGTGAGTTAATTTTACTGTTATAAACATTCTAGAATGCCGATATAAAACGTCCCGTTAGGTCGCGCTCTTCTTTTATCAATATGGTCTTTACCGATCAATTGGCTTTCAGAAAATGTATAATTTAGCTGCTTCAGCCTGCTACATCGAAAATGAGGGGCATTTTTGTTTTTACTTCAGGTCGCCGGCGCTGGCCGTGCGCGGTTACCACGAGCCGGCCGGAACCTGGGAGTAACAGATCCTCCTAGGAGTCGAGCAAGGTTGCCAAGTGCCAACTATACTTAATCCTCGCCGGCCGACAAACACGCTGGCGATAGAGAGCTGAAACTTGGCATACCTGACCTTTGATTCAAGCCGAATCTTTTAACACCAACCGCATTTTTGGGTCAGGTCAGGTCACTGACCTATGACGTCATAAAAGAACCTCTGCACGGTCTTCAGATGTCGCAGCTTCGCAACGCCCTCACTGCCAGAGGAGATGTCACAGGGAAATGAAACTTGCAGGATCTAGTATCCATTATGAGTCTCACGATTTGTATATCTCGGATTTTTCCTAAAGGTCATATGAGGTCAGGTTATTTTCGTGACCTCACCATTATAATATAAGTCAATGGGGAAAAATGAAAACTGCTATTCTGGCGCCGGGAACGATCTCCAACTATCTCAAGCACACAGAATCGTGATTTGATGCACTCTTTGCAAGGTTAGATGCCTCACTTTTGCAATGTTGACCTTGTGTGACGTCATTTATGACGTCATCAAGGTCATATTAGTTTTTCGTCAATAACTCTTGATCAAATTAACCCGCGCACCGACGGGGGTCTGCGCCAACTTCGTACCGACGGGGGGGGGCGGATGACCGCCCCCCCCCCTGAGATCTCGAGAACGAAGCAAGATAGCGACAAGCGGTAAACGGCATCGGTTACGCACGGTCAAGATCTACAATTTTTACTAAGGTCATTTTCAGGTCAGGTCAAAGATGACGTCACAGGGGTCGAAAAAGTCAAAATGGCGGCGCTAGATATGGAGAGAGTTTTTCTCGAATAACTTTCGAATTAGTCAAGATAGGAACAAACTAAGAGCATCATCGTGATCCTCTCGTCAATCCGCATCGAATGATATATATGTTGACCTCGAAAGGTCAAGGTCAAAGGTTGACCTCAGGTCACGTGACCTCGAGGTCATCATGTATATCATTCGATGCGTCTTGACGAGCTGAACACAATGAGACCATCCACGCCTCTGTATCTTGTTCCTGTACGGAGTTATTGGCCAAAAACCTTTGGTGACCTTTGATGACGTCACATGACCTCACAGCTGCCCAACAGCAAAACAGACCTCAAGGTAGTGAAGGTTTATCGTATATGAAGTCATTTATGGTATATGGGGCGATTCCGACCCGTTTTAGTGGTAAAAACAGGGAGTTGATTTTTGCCCCATTGACTTATAATGGGGAGGTCGCGAAATTGACCTGACCTTAGGTCACCGATATCAAAATTCCGAGATATACAAATTGTAGCTCCTAATGACCTAATAATATCCTGCGACTTTCAAAGTCCTCCGACATCTACTGTAGCTCTGGCACGGTGACAAAGTTGCGAAAAAGTGACTTGAGGTTGGGTCATTCAAAGTGACCTGGTGACCTGACCTTAAAAGGTAGGAGGTTCAAACTTGCACACCATGTGTAAAATTGATGAGGTTATAGTCATACCAAATTTCGCGGCGCTACGCGCCGCGGTTTTCCCGCTATTTGCGAAAAACCTCAGGGGGGCGGATATCCGCCCCCCCCCCCCCGTCGGTGCGCGGGTTAAGCTAGCGAGTCGCGAAAGCCACCAATGGACTCAGGAAGACCTGCCGAATCGAATTATATGCGACATGACCTCTTTCGACCAACTTCGTGAC